AAGAAAGAAAGAAAGAAAGAAAGAAAGAAAGAAAGAAAGAAAAAGAGAGAGAGAGAGAGAAAGAATAAGAAATTTAAATGTTGATGACAAGCACGTCCACCTAACGACTCTAAAGACAAAGGCTGCTACGAGAATAAAAAACAAATATAATAAAGCTCAAAATTTGTCTGAAAGGTACTCCCAAATAATTCCAAATTCATAATTTTGATAAAATCAATTTTACCTTAACCTAAGCCCCCACTGAAATGATGCCATACTCAACCAATACCCAATACTTGGTTATTTCATTAAATCCACTATCGCATGGAAATTATCGGTTAATGTTGTCTGAGATCTTCAACTGTAGACATTAGTACCAGACTGAGGGTACTTTACTGTCTCATTCCTCCAGGACGCCGAAACTTCGACTCCATCAGAAACACAGATTAGTCTTGAAGCTGAAAGGAAAGATGGGCAGTAAACATATTATTTGTATTCGTAATAATAAAATTRAAAACGTGCTTTATTTCGAAAGGAGTGTTTGCTGTAAACGATGTAGACATCTTTGGTCAGTTGTAATATGAAAAGAGTCGTGTAGACTTAATCAGCCAATTCTTGTGGCACTTATGTGTCAAAAATATTCCTAAGTAACTTTCTTACTGCTAATTGAAACAATACGTACTAAGGTAAATTTTCTGCCTATTTTTTCAAATATGATGATAATTAAAATACGTCTGAAAGCTTCGTACAATTTAACTTAAATTAATGAAATACCAAGATGTTGCGAAAAATAGTTTCTTTTTGTCTAAATAGATATGACTAGCTAAAAACTAGTGTGAGCTGCGTCGGTGTTTCTAAAGAAACAGTAATGATAAAAAGGTAAATTATACACCGTGAAAAGATGAAAAAACTCTTTTACTCCGACGAAGGACTAGCGTCCGAAACGTCAGTAAGTTTTTTCATCTTTTCACGGTGTATGATTTACCTTTTTATCATTACCATTTTTGTCTAAATAGGAGGGTCATAAATTTCTCACTGCATGAAAAAGGGAGAGTTTCAACAATTTTAAGTTAAGTGCGATTCCCCCAACCCTCCCCCCTCCCCACAAAATATCAGCGTACCTTCCCTTAAGGATTTTATTTCATCGAAAATTAGAAATAAGAAAACTTGCAATTTTAAACAGGTTACTTCAAATAAATTTGAATAAGCAGGTGAGACTTCAACCCACAACAAGCCAAAAATGCAACTCTTTAGGATGTTTTGTCTAGGAAAGCTAGTTAATGATTTTCTTTTACTTAGCTGTCCGAAAACAATAGCTTACAATTTGTTTCTTAAGGAAAACCCATCGAGCAACAAAAACCTCTTACTCTATACTCTTAAGGAAAAAGCTGTCTTCTCACAAGAACAGAATGTTAAATTCAGTGATTCTAGTACATATTTCTTGTTATCATTGTTCAATATCTTATTAGTTTTCGTTTCTAGATTTTATTGAAATTTTTTAATGATTTTTTCTTTTTGGAAACCGAAGTCCTTGTATTGTGATTGTTTAATATAATTTTCTTTAATGATTCCAGTTCATCTTATATCACAACCACCCGAGGTTATAATTTCCAAACTGACAAAGAGCCTAGGGTAAATTTTTATCACGCGCCAAATTGATCTACCTTTGATGCCTGTCGAAAGTTTGGATGTTATTTGGCATTATCTTTCTCTTGGGTGTAGCRTAACATGTTCTCATTTCAGACCACATGTCATTCCCTTGAGAATAAGATTCTTCGTTTTAGTTGCATCCATATTCGTGTGTTTTCTCGTGCGCCGTCGTTAAACAAAGAAATGATACTCAAGGGAATGACACCTGGTCTGAAATGGGAAAACATTACACCCAAGCTAGAGGTCTATTCCTCCAAGCACACTCAATGGTATTTGGAAACACATCAGGGAATTATTTATTTTTGATTAGAACGAGGTGAAAAGGAGAATGCTGATTATTGGCAAGAGTAGGCATACTTTCTAGAGTTGTAAAGAGTAAATGATATGGAGTTAAACATGTAATAAGCACTAGGACTCTTCACCACGTGCTGTTACGCCCATTTACCCTTACTAAGACTTTGATCAAAGAAATGTAAAGAAATGAATGATTTATAAGAGTCAAGAGGCGTGAAAATTGCAAAAAACTTTATACAAATCTCCACGTGGTGTGGCACGCCCTCTGTCCATAGTTAGGCTCTATTCAAGTCAATTATTTCTAAAATTACTGAATGAAACTTGGACGCTGTTACATATAGATATTCATACACTTCTCCACGTGTTTCCACGCCCCGCAGTTAGAAATTTTATAGCGTAGTATAGTAATTTTTTAACCTTTATAATGTATTTGAATCCACCCTCATTCTCTACCTCGTTCTTGTACACTCTATTACCTAAGACAAACTTAACAAACGACAGTCTGATCTTACTTCTTGTAACACGATTAATGCATAGCGTTAATGATGTAAACTAACACAAAACAGGTTTGATTGGTTCTGCTGGAGGGTACGTTATTACCTCGGCACAGCTTAATTAAACGAATCCAATTTAAACCATTCAACTCGAAATCATGAAAACTAATATATATTTTTTCTGAAGCATTCCGCTGTCAACTTCGGAAGAAAGGCTCGCACCAAGGAGGTAAAAAATAGATTCTAAATTCATTCTTTTTACTGAACCTTTTCCTGCTTCCACATCCTTTGACGCAAATAGTAGACACTTAGTCTTGACAGGCGTATATGTGAGACATACAAAATGCCCACGGCTCTCCGACTCAGTCACGTGACATTAAGTTGATTTTATCACGCGCACATCACGTGGACAATACCACCTCACACATGCGCAGAAAAGACTAGCCGCACACAACACGTGAACTTCACGAACGTCTCGCACATGCGCATACTTGTTTTTTGACTCTCATTTTCAAATCGTCACGCGCACATGATAAGACAAATCTCACGCATGCGTAATAGGTCTTTCCTGTTATTGAGTTTAGTGTCTAAGAACATGATGTATGAAGTACTCCTACGCCAGAGGCTTTATTTTAAAGGACTCGAGGATAATCATAAGCCCGGAAAGAAACGCCAAATTCAGAATTTTGAAAGGCTCAGGTTATTGATAGAACACACTTCAGATTTCAAACGATATGACCTAAAGCTTTGTTTGAAAGGTCAAAGACAAACAGCGATGAAAAGAAGACCTCTTGCTCATCATGTTTTCATAAAATCTCATTTTTCTTTTTTTTGTCTTCCTTTTTAAATGAATTGGCGTCTTTATTTGCTGTTTTAAAATATCAGTTTTAATCAATGTCCTAAATAAATAAGAAACCAAATTTCAATCGCCAGAAATTTTAGCTCTTACTTTGCCCAATGGTTTAGGCCCGCGATCGCGATCGCGATGCCTAGCGGTGTGCTATCATTACCTCAGTTTCAGCATTTGATCAAAATCATGCTAACATCAAAAAAGGCGACTGTAACAATGCTAAATACACCTAGGACACACGAAAAATCCAAGATTTCCCCCCATAGAAATCCAAAACCAATTTCTAGATTTTATTTCTTCTTCCCCAGTCCTTCAAGTCTTAGGATAGCGTCGATAAGGAGCTGTTTTTTAGCGCGCTTCGAGCGAAATCTTCATTTCTTAATTTTAATAATATCAGTGCCAAAGTAATATATGAAATACGAGATAAGATTAGATTATTAGATGTCGAAGGGGRAAAAAAATTAATCGCGCAGCTTCTTTTGTCACTCGGAAATACCCTAGCCTGAAAGTGATTAAATCGAGGTAGGAAATAAAAGACAGAGATTTGATAGATACAACAGAGCGAGACAGCCAGGGGTTTGTATTTACAGTATTACTTAGCGCCTACTTGGTGTTGAAAATTAGAATCCCATCTTCCTTACCGTGACCAAAATCAATATTAGTTATGGCAAATTAAGCTAAATAACTTCCTTTCCCTTTTTCTTTTTTGATGGATGGAATAAAGATTATTGAAAAAAAAAAAAAAAACTCCCTGAAACGAAGCTCCTTTGATCACTTTAAAGAACGACACTTATTTTATTTATTTTACCATCCCATTAAAACATCAAGATGTATATTTTTGATATCTTGTTCTATTTTGATTTGATTACCAGCCGTTTCGTTCCTTTCTTCTAGGATCGCGAGTAATAAGCGCTTGTCAGGGTTTGCGGTCAGCCGTCCTTGGGGTTGCGGTAGGGAGTAGTCAGTTCTCGTCAAGAAAACATGTACATCTCTTCTTTTTTTTAGCCTTTAGCTTTATTTTTAAAGCATCAAAAATTTCTTTTCCATTAGGGTAGCTCTTGGAATGGAAATCAATTATTGAAACCCATTTCCATAAATTGTGGTCGGCGTCCACAACATGTTTCGTCTTATTCACAGCGCGAATAAAAGAGTCGTTTTGTTTTGATGATTAATATCTCAAATTGTGTATAATGGAAATTATAGACTAATGTTGTTTTTTTTTCCTCTATTTTTATCAAAGATCAAATTGTCCCATCTCTTGGCTCCTCCCTGAACTGCTCTCCTAACTCTGATCCAGAATACATACCACGTTTTTCCAGAAAAGTCTTCGTTGGAGGGCTCCCTCCTGACATTGATGAAGGTACGTCTGTCCTGCTAGATTTGGAAAGGATATGGTAATGGTAGGGGTGGGGTGGGGTGGGGTGGGTAGAAGGCTGTAGACGGTTTTTAAAGCAATTAAAATCGTGTTGCCGGGTCCCGTTAACTAAGTTTATTTTCATGACAAAACAAATAAACTGTAAACTGTAAAGCATTATTCAAATTTAATGCGGATACCCTGAAGCAATCTCTGCATTTTCAGCACTCGATGATCTAAATCAGGGCACGGCTAACTCACAAATTGAACCCTGAAACAACCTCTGGGCTGATCATAGTCAGGAAACGGCTAATTCACAGATCGAATTGGAATTTAGCGTGTTGGGTTTTGCGGAGAGAGGAAAGCTGAAGAACGCATTCCTTCAACGGCGTTTTTATAGTTTTAAGATTTATATATTTGTATGGCATGAGCCACTTCCAGTAAAATCGTGCGTACTGATTGGCTAATACGTTTTTTCAGTAATTCACGCTTTATATTTTCCTATAAGTTATATCTTTAAAGAGGCTCGAAAATAATTTCTCATCTTTTTGCACGTCCTCCCGTCCTCTCCCCTGCTAAATTGATGCCCTACACATAGTTCAATTTGATCAAATCTTTAATCAACTTAAGCTCCCAAGCAATCACTATCGATGTAAAAAAAATCGTGCAACTAAATAGGCTATGTTAATGCATTATGGCTTAAAGACAATTTGATTCACATTTCCCCGGCTTTAAGATGCCTTGCCCTAATCAACCCTTAGCGCATTGCTATTTTATTCCCTATATAGTCCCCTAATAGCATGAAATTGGTTTAACTGTAGACGATATGTCTCGGGGTCTTAAGTAACCCACTCCACCACCACCGCACTCTGATCGACTAACTTCATTATCTGTGTCTATCATCCAGACGAGATCCACGCAAGCTTTTGTAGGTTTGGAAGTTTGACAGTCGACTGGCCACACAAAGCCGAAAGCAAATCCTACTTTCCTCCCAAAGGTAGAAAATATGCCCTTCACTATTTTTATCAAGGATTTTGGTTCAGTTAATCCACTAGAGTCTAGACGCTGACCCCTGTTTTCTATTTATTCTGCCATAGGATATGCCTTTCTGCTGTACTTGGAGGAAATTTCGGTACAGAAGCTGATAGGCGCGTGTTTCCGTCAGGACGATAAACTGTACTTATGTGTATCTAGCCCAACCATTAAGGATAAGCCGGTAAGTAGTCTAAATGGATGGACTTCCGACAGGGCTGACAGCAATTAAGATAGCTAAGATTACCTTGCGGATCGGCTATTTTTGCTCTGGTCTACGCGCCCTTGAGCCCTTGAAAGATGAACTCGTCGTTTAAAGGAAAAGAATTAGAAAATTTAACCTGTCTAGGGCTTCTCTTCAAAAAAAAAAAAAACAAAAAACAAAAAACAATCTAAGGTATATTGAGCACAGTTGTTTAGTAATAATAAGATTCTCAGAACGTAAAACGCCTTCTCCTTCTCCCGATAATGATGCGCTGGAATAAAACAAACTTTATCTCTTACAAAAGTAAACGAGTTGCTTTCAAATTGATAAAATGACAGCTACGCAAAACGATAGTGATAACTAAACCTTTTTGGTGTTAGACGTTAGACTTTAGTGTCTCAGTAGTCACAGATAAACACAGCCATTCTTATAGAACATAGAGTGATTTTTATTAACCCTTGAAACAAAATTTAGCTATTAACTTCTA